TATTATTATTATTATTATTACTGTTGATTGATTGTTCATTGTTATTGGATTGTGTCGGGTTTTTGGTGTGGAAATATATTTACGTTCTAGTCAGGCTAATCATGTGTTTTTGATCATCGGAGTTATGTTGAAGTCCTGTAGAATAGACACTGGGAAGGAATCTAGTGTAGATATTCATCTAAGGTAAATTAGCGTCCCATTCGTATAAACAAGGATAACCAACCGTTATAACATTAGACGAAGTAAAACCGAGCGTTATAACAGTACTAATCAGTCTTAACTATTAATTTAAGTGTTATATATGTCATTATTTCTTTTTTGTTTCTTAAGTCGTCTCTAATTAAACTTCATTGGTTACCATATATAAAACTTTGTTTACAATAATGTAACTGATGTAGATTTAGGTCGTTCTCAGCTGATGAATAACCTCAATACATAATAAATTCATGTCACTAGTTTAGTGGTGTTCTTATCGTTTCATTAAAATTTATCAAGGGATCACGATATATGAATGTTGCATTTAGATTCTTTAAAAAAATATATGAATATCGCATAGATGCTAAATAAAATGATAAAGGTCACCATGTGATTATGAACATAAGTTATCATACAATGATAGCGTGAATATGTAACTATGTCACCATGAAACAAAACATGACAAATCGTCTATGGTTTATGGATAGCGGGATAATACAGAGATCAGTAGGGCAAAGTTTTATTACGACGAAAATTGATATCTGGTACTGAAATAACAATATCAGGATAAAGAATAACAATCAGTATTACTTGTATCATAACAATAGTCAACCAGTTATAATACAGAATGAGATGGTCATTTTTTAGTGTATGTTACTCATTTCGACAGATATAAGTAATATGTAATACCAATCAGAAATTGAATGTCTAGCAGGCAGAAAGTTGAAAAGATTGAATTGAAGAGAACGGGAATGTAAACAAATAAGAATTTTGAATTGGAAGCATTATACAGGATGTGATAGACAATTATTATTATTATTATTATTATTATTATTATTATTATTATTATTATTATTATTATTATTAACCCTATTCAATATTATAGTTTTGGTACAATATAGAATTCTCAGCACAGGTTATTTCAACAAGTTACTTACGCAACAACAAAAAAACAGTAACGAATACAAAAAAAAAGAGAAATGTTTTTTTCAAAAAAAGAAGAAAGAAAAAAAAGACAAAAATCCCGAAAAACTGTACAACTTTTAGAATTAAGGATATGTTAAGAATGCAAGTTATTGACTAGGTTGACTCTAACAACCTGTTCGTCACAGAGTATATTTGCTAGGTGAGGTATTAGAGAACTTTTATACTTTTGCTTGCGTGCATGGATTTTAATGTAATTACGTCTCGTTATACAAGAATATATACAAGGAGAAAGATAAGAGTGAAGGGGATGGCTAGTATCTGATAAAATAACACCTGCCAGGAGTTTGCATGATTTTAAATGTCTATCCACAACCATATTGATTATGATCTCGAAAGATTCACCACACATCTTGATAAATGCCTTCAGCACCCTCCGCAATACAGCAAAGACCTCTCTCAAAAGCCCGTGAAAGAATAATGGAGAACAGTAAAGAATAATAGGTAATATGCAAGAATTGACAAATTGTAAGAGTAAATGTCGAGTAATCCTAAAATTTATGCAGCCTCTTTATGTAATAATTCAGATGGGAAATATTTTTCGATAACAATAAAAAGTGAGAAGACCAAGAGAGACGAGAGGAAAAGGTAACACCAAGACAATTGACCTTCGACACTGTGTTTATCAAAGAGTCTCCGATGGTACAAGGATTATGGGATCTCAAAATGGTGTTTAGATGCCGTTCATGTCTCATGCTAAAGTTAACAGTTTGACATTTATACGGATTAAGTATGAGACCATTACCAACAGACCAAAAACCAATACGAGACAAAAACTCATTCATTTCTATGGGATGTAAAGAGGAAGAGATAGGCATACATACAGTGAGATCATCCGCATATTTCATAAAAGTGTTTTCTGTGGAAGATGGCAGGTCATACAGAAAAGAAGAGAATAGAAGAGGTGAAAGAACAGCTCCTTGTGATACACCTTCATGAGACAGTAGAGACTCTGAACACTTTCCTCCAAACACAGTGTACTGTTCCCTTCCAGAGAGATAGAAACATAGCCAGTTGGTTATCCAGCTGTCAGTGTTGACGCTGATTAACTTGTTAATTAAACGTTGTCTTGGTATAGAGTCAAAAGCTGAAGTACAGTTCAGAAAAGCACATCGAACATACTTCTGACCCTTTTTTAAGTTGAACACTATGTTGTGATGCAGAACAGCAACAGCATCTAAAGTGCTTCTTTTGCGTCTGTAAGCAAACTGATATGCTCTTTTATCGCAGGCTGAAGTAGAAGTATTATTAATTTTTCCATTGTTTTGAGGAAGGGTGAAGTTATTGCAATAGGTCTAAATTTTACATTCTTATCACTAGATATTTTCTTGGGTACAGGAATTATCTTCATCTTTCTCCACATTTTTGGTATGAGATTAGATGAGAAGGATCCGTTAAAGATAGCTGTGAACGGATAACATAGGACGTCAGCACACTTTTAAAAAAGGATGATGGCTTTTAATGTATAGTTCTTATATTTTACCAAGATATTTTATAACTATTAAGTTAATTGTTCCTCACTTAACTTGTTCAATACAATTCTAGGTTATTCATCTTTTAACCCTAATATCAAAATCAGGCGCGTATAAAATGCAAGTCATAGTTTTCCACTATGAAACGTTCTTTGGATTGTTCTGAGTAATCTCTGAATTAATATTTCACTGTTCCCATTCATTCTGAATTGTAGGCGCATGAACAAGGATTTCATGTTCACTTTTTGTGTTTCGTCTATTTTAATCTTCTTGATTATATATTAACTTATAAACTTTCTGCGGTATCCGTTTTCTTAATTATCCTAGACACAATAAAATCTGAAGGGGTTTTGTGGAGATTTTAGTAATTTCAACAGTTGCAATCATGAGTCAAATGAAGTTAGACTACCATGGAAAACCTGGAAGCAATAGACGGCCGTTTCGTCCTATTGCGAGACTCCTCAGTAATATCACCTTATAATTCTCGGACTAACTGTGATTCATTTCTGACATAATGAACATAAACTTAATTGATTATTGTGCAACTGAAATAAGAAAATAATTTCTTCATCATCGTCTAGATCATATGAGAAATTATAATGGAGTGATTTCATAATATAGTAAATGAATTATGTCTGTTGTTTATTGGTGACAGTTTTATGATATTGTAAATTTGTATTCATATAGTGAGTTAATGACTAACTAATGTTAAGTGCTGTGTAGTCTACCTTATACAAATCGAATGATTAAATAATGTAACCGAATTATATCAAACTTAGGAAATTCAGATATCATTTGAAATTATTATTATTATAAAACAAATTGACACCATATGAAAGTCGGGTTTTAAAGGTCGATGAAATCTAATTTAGACATCGCCCTCAAATGCCCCGGTACGGTCGAGTGTAGGAAGAATTAGCTCTCTTTCTCGAAATGCCCTCACATGGCCACGCGTATACAGCCACTGCCAGAGAAGTACTACTCACCGCCTTCTTGGCACACAGGTGTTGTTTACGAAGTTGTAAAGTCGGAAAGCGAATGTCCGGCGCTTTAACCAGGTTGGTGGATACGGAGGGTCGATCTAGTGGAGTTGAAAAAACCCTGATTCCAAACCAATAGTTCACATGGGCTCCAGGATCCTAATGAGACGAATGGTGAATGAACATATTGCTGATTACCGGCTACCATTGAACTGCATCTCCTCACGTTGCTCCACCGCCTTGTGGATTAGAATTTTAGGTCGAAGGTTAGAGGTTTAAACCCCTAAGAAAACCACATACTTCGGTCTGGGCACTCAGCAGTACCACAGCCCACACTCAAATCAAGTGACTTGTGTAGCGTATATGTATTCGGTGCCCTTTTTTAACAATATTTTTGTGTTCAAATAAATAAGTGGTTTCTACAATACTACTCTTTTGTTAAAATCACAAGCGTAACAAGTAGCTGATATGTATGAAGTTACAAACTCTCTGTTTACTAATATTACAAAGCCTAGAACTTTTAAAAAACAACCCAAATTATTCTAAACAATAAATATCATTTGTAATGGAACTATACACATCTCATAAAAATCACACTTATTTTGACGTGTGATCTAACAGTTTGAAAATGATATAGGATAGAGATAGAGTGTGTGTGGCTATCAGTGAAATCCCGACTGCTCATTTCTTTCTAACTGGTACCCGTCATCTAGTTATACCTGCATCTCAGAATTGATTTTCCCTCTGAGATTCAAAACTGGTGCCATTCATTCCACTTAGCTACTAATGAGCCTAGATATCCACTCGTTTGTGCAACATGATATTCCAAATGATTACAAATTACACATTGAAGTTGGTTAGTGTTACAGAGTGACATCAACATGAATAACCAGGAAGTGTTGATTAGTTGTTTAGTCCTAATTTAAGATGGAAATCAGTCTCGTTTTCCATACGTTTAGATCAGATGAGATTTCAGATTATAATTTAATATCTAATTTAATAAATATTCATCTATATGTCATATGTTGAAAGCATATTAATGGTCTATTCATGCAAATATTGATCCACAAAGCTGTGATAATATTATTAGACTTAATTGGTCGAACTGTAGTTTGGTTTCTAGTGTTATACGCATAGTGTTGAACAAGTTAATCCGATTTAACCAATCTGAATCATACTACTGATGACTAGTAAGACACATATCTGTAGGATTAAACTAAGACGTTCTTTAAAAAATGGTGATTAGCTAATTATGTATATTTAGATATATATATATATATATATATATATATATATATATATATATATATATATATATATATATATAAATCAGTCATTAATGTTATCTAGTTCTGTAGTAGTTTAAGATATGGGTATACTATTTACTCCAGAAAATGATGATCCATATGCTAATATTCCAAGTCATAAGGCATTTACTCATGCGTATCTTTCGACAGTTACTGCAGACTTTGGTAAGTTTTATTAATTATTTACGATTGAATTCGTATATACCTCTCGTTGGTTGATTAATTTATAACTTGATGAATAACGTCATTGATAAATAAGAGTTTAATCAAAGCATTATATCAATAACCATTTCCTGGAGTTTTAGTGAGAAACAGTGATCAGTGGAGTTCAACTGGGTCTGTTGTGAGATATCTACTCATTGAAGACAATTGTGGAAGTGTCGTTCGATTTCGTGGATCAGTTGAAGTTAGATATTAACACTGTTGGATCCTGACATGCCCTGTGTTCTAGAATTTAAGTGTTCGCGATCGAGACTGATAGGTAGTTGGTTAGAATCTTGCTATTATCATATAAAATCATTCACAAACTGTAGGAAAGGCACAATTTACAGGAGAAGATTCTTTTCGATGTGACTCATTATTGCAGTTGAATTGTATTTATTTGTGTGTGGAAAAAACTCCTTGTTAATACAGAAAAACTAAATGGCATTCTTTCGTTATATTCTTGACTTTCCGATAATTTTTATTAAAGATGACAGATCAAAACAGTCATAAGATATTTATTAAAGTTCTTTCCTAGAATTAACTTGCGAAGATATTTACTCTGCACGTGTTCAATGAAATGGTGTGACCAACAAACCTACATCAAAGTTATACCATACGACGATTTCCTAAACAGAATCACCTCTATACAGTGGTCAAGCCATTTTTTCTGCTTCTTTCGTAACAGTGAGAAAGAAACAGAAGCTTGCTTGAATAATACTGTACATCAAGTAGATCAGAATGACGAAGTATGTAGTATCGATATTATTCTACCTGAGATGTGACAATCGGTGATATAGTTGAAAATACGAAGGGTGGTATATGTTCTGTCAATATTAGCAAATTCAACGTACGAAGACCTTACTGTTGAAGTGATTAGATGCCATATTACTCAACCTATAGCATAATGCCTAATTTAACCTTGACATTTGTACCCTAGAATGTGTTTCTATTGTCTACTGTTTATTTATTTATTTATTTATTTATTTATTTAACATTATTTATCCAAATGGCTTAGGTGAGGACAACTTCCTGACATGCCCAATTGGTTTACTTTTCACACTCGGTATCCTGTTGGGTTCTGGTGGTGCTCAAGGTAGAACAGGTTATCAAATTGGAAAAACAATGAGACTAAAATCGACATCTTCTTCATGGAATTCTTCGGAAGCTCAACAAGAAATGAAATCAATATATCAAGAGCTTAATAACTCGCTCACTTCAGAAAAAACATTTTTAAATGAGAAAGAAGAAAATGTTGTTAGAATATCAACAGGTATATTTGTACAAAAAACGTACGAAGTTGAAAGACGTTTTACCGAAACTATTGCAAATGATTTTGAAGGAGAATTGAAACAGGCAAGTTATTATATTTTGTGTAAATCCTAATGTAATGAAGAATCAGTCGTTTTCGCAAACATCAATCGATAAGTAATCGACCGTTTCATTCATAGAATGTTCTTAAAATAGTTTACTATTCGTGATGTGATACTTGAGAAAAGTCCATCTTATTTAGTTGGATGATTTACTGAGTTTGAATGTGTAGAGTGGATATATTACCAGAAAAACCAGTAGAAATAATGGATGAGTTGACTGACCGTTTTTTCTCATCTGAATGATTAATAACCATACATTCACTTTGAGTTACTTTAAGTTGGATTTAGAACAGTTCCAGTAATAGATCATAACGTATGAATGGAACGAAGATTTTATCAGGTCATAACTGTATGACTTAAAAAGATTTCCCCTCTAAATCGTTTATGGATTCACGTGGAGAAAAATAATGCTGTTGAATTTCAGCTGAGCAGCTGAATAATATTATAATCATTGTGTCATATTCATGCAATACGTTCGAATAAATTTGAGATCACTTATGCGCACTGTTTCAAACTGAGATTAAATGTCTCCCGTGTGCTCTCTGACGTTTACTAACTTTCAAATTCACATTGTGAGCTCTTCTCACAATATACTAAACAGGGTTATGTATACTAATGTTTGGATTAAAACAATAACTGTCTAGATAGTTTAGATAGGTGCTGTTACTTAGTTGAAACAAAAACAAACAAACAATGTAATTGAGTCAATGAGGGTTCTACATTTTATTATAAATATAAATGTACATTATTACCTAAACGAATATTACCAACCAGTTATTCAACCAATAATTGTCCAATCAGTAATCAAACCAAGTGCAAACAATAAACGGTATTCTATCCTTTGTGGATAGATCACGTACAGATTCTTTCGAAGAATAATATTTGATTGCGCTATAACACCGATTGTTTCCAATTGTGGAAAAGTGCTTAAATTCACAATCAAAAATGCAGTTCAGGAGAAAACATGGGGACTCAGTTAAGAAGTAAGGAAAAGGAAATCTGTAATAAAATACAAATATTACCTATTTGAAATGGAATTAAACAGACCAACAGAATGTACAACTGAAGGGATCAAGAGGAGTGAATTACAGGTGTATATATGGAGGGATTTTCACACACGAAGCCATCATTATGGATCTTACAATCCATAGAGGACCTCAATTCAATTATCGACCATGTAAATTATAATTCTATTTCAAAACAAAACTTCATACTACCACATGTCACATTATGGATTGCTTGGTTGGTAAATGATGAATCGGAATCCTAGTGGTTGGAATGTTGCACAACTTTACCTCTGAGTGTAATCTAGTCACAGATCTATCATGTATAGAACTGATTTTCTTTTAAAGTTTACTACTGTTGTAATGACTCACTTATCTTTGAAGCATATGCTGCTGATGTTATTCACAACGACGAACTGTATACAAATAAATGATCCAACTTAAAGATCACGACATCTGCAAAGCTTTCTATCGGTAATCATAATCGGAATGAAGTCATTAATTCTGTTAGTATTTGTTCATTAGAATTAATTAACGCTTACAAATTTTTAATGTTCATTACTCTAGGTGGATTTTTCTAATGGAACTAGTGCTACAGTTGATATCAATGATTGGGTTGATCAACAGTCTAATGGTTTATTGGAGAAATTCTTTACAGATGATATTCCAGATGACACTGTGATGATACTGGTAAATGTTTTCTACTTTAGAGGTAGGTAAGCTATGATCCGACTGTTTAAAGTCTAGAGTTTAATAGAAGAACAGACTTGAAGACTAATTGTTCCATAAAATGTGATGACTCTAATAATCAGAATCACAATAATAGCCTGAATTGTTCATGTTAAGTATTTTGTATTTTGTTTATAGGGCGATTAAAGTGAGCATGTAGGATGTTCGTGATTTAAGATTTGTGATGTTTGAGACTTGTGAAATAGGCGGAACTGTAAAAGTTGAGTGAAGGTTTATGCTAGTATGACTTGAAGTTGGGTCATGGAGGAATAAGCCATGTTGATGGATGTGAACAAGCAGTAATCGTACGTCTGGACCACCATGGTTACTACTGCATATTTTGAAACTTTGAGAGACACCATATATTGATCAACGAGTTTGTGAACTTTTCCAAACTCTTGTCCAAACACACTATTGTGAATCATTTTATAATTTGTGGGGGCGGAAGCACGGTATATAGTAGACAGTTAGGATACAGCTGGATGATCCAGATTTCGCAGATGATCTGGCTCTTCTATCGCACACGCCACAACAAATGCATGAGAACACGACCAGTGTGGCAGCCGCCAAATCTGATGTACGTCTCAGCGTATATTAATGAACAAGCAAGATTGTCTGATATAACGCAACAGGCACCAAATGAATCACGCTATCTTTTATTTATTTATTTATTTATGCCTGTTACTCCCAGTGGAGCATCGACCACTGACCAGCATTCTCCAACCCACTCTATTCTATTCCATCCTTTCTAGTTTTATCCAATTGTTGTTCATTCTTTTCATATCTGTCTCCATTTCTCGGTGCAATGTGTTCCATTGTCGTCGCCTCCTCTTGCTTTGACCTTGAGGATTCCAAGTGAGAAATTTACTTGTGACTCAGTTGGGTCCCTTCCCGAATGTATTTCCTATCCACTTCCAGCACTTCCTGATTTCTTCCTCCACTGGAATCTGGTTTGTTCTCTAACATAGTATGTTAACGCTGATAGTGTCTGGCCAACGGGTCCTAAGTATTCTGCATAGACAATTATTAATAAACACTTGTATCTTCTGGATGATTGTTTTGGTAGTTCTCCAAGTTTCCACCCCATACAATAGAACTGTTTTGACATTGGTATTGAAAATCCTGACTTTGTTGATGGTTGACAGTTATTTTGATTTTCAGATGTTCTTCAATTGTAGATATGTTGCTTTCATATCTGCATCAGATCTACCGTACTCGCTAATGATGCTGCATAGATACGTAAATGTTTTAACATCTTCCAAAGCTTGTCCGTCAAGTGTGATTTGATTGATGCATGTTGTGATAAATCGGAGAATATTGCTCTTCCCTATGTGAATGTTGAGACCTACTGCTACTGAGGCTGCTGCTACACTGGTCTTGTTCTCGTGAATTTGTTGTAGCGTGAGCGATAGAAGAGCCAAATCATCTGCGAAGTCTGGATCGTCCAACTGCATCCTGGCTGTCCACTGTATCCCATGCTTCCTCCAAGATGTTGATGTCTTCATGATCCAGTCGATCACCATGAGAAAGTGCTAGGTTTGAAGCTATCACGAGTTCACTTAATCTGCGAACGAGAACAAGACTTGGTGACCAAAGACTAGTAAGCTAGCTATTGATGAGTCCCAGCCTCACTAACTAGAGGGAGAAGTCCAAACTTGGAATGGGAAGTATATTCTGTAAACAGCCGGAAACGAGCTTCTCACAGATCACAAGCCTTTGCTCGCAATATTCGTGTGGAAATCTGACATTCCAGCTCATTCTGCAAATCGTCTTCAGAGATGGGCCTTAGCACTCTTGGGGTATGATTTCGAGACCCAGTATCGACGCACTCAACAACTCGGTCAGGCAGACGCCCTGTCACGACTTATCAGCGAACACCGTACGGCCGACGAAGATGTAGTTATTGCTTCTCTAATAACAGAGGACCACGCGCACTGTTAACTGACATCTGCTGTTCGTGCTTTGCTAGTCTCAGCAGCTAAAATACAATCTACCTCCAGGAACGACCCCATCATTAAGAGAGCGATGAGATACGTCAGCAATGGCTGGCCGTCAACTGGACTCGATGGTGACTTGAAGCAGCTTTACCACCGTTGAGACTGATTATGCGTCGTGAATGAGTGCTTGATGTTTGGAGATAGAGTAGTGGTGCCAGAGTCCCTAAGATCAAGGGTGCAAGGGCAGTTCCACACTGGTCATCCTGATATAAAACGAATGAAACCCATCGCCAGAAACTATGCTTATTGGCCAACTCATGGACCAATACATCATGGATTTAGTAGGCAAACGCACGCAATGTCAGCAAGCGGCGAAATGTAATGCGAAAGTGACGCCGGTCTCATGACCACAACATGAATATCCCTGGTCCAAGATACATGTCAATTTAATTGGTCCAATCAGTGGGACTACCCATCAGGTCGTGATTGACGCCTTTTCAAAATGGCCAGAAATTGTCCCCATTATGCCACTGACAACTACCAAAACGATACAACCCTTGACGGAGACGCTCGCTCGCAACAGGTTACCGGATGCAATTGTATCAGATAACGGTTCTCAGTTCACTTCAACACAGTTACAAGATTTCTGCCAATGGTTATCCATCAAGCATCTCCGCTGTCCACCCTACCAGCCGCAATTGAACGGCCAAGCAGAAAGATTTGTGAATACATTTAAGAGAGCTCTGATCAAGTTGAAAAGGGAGGGGATGCCAGTGGAAACACTGCAAAACTTCTTCGTTTGCAGAGTGACACCTAGTGATGTTTTACACGAGCAGAAGTCTCCAGCAGAAATCCTCATGGGAATAAAATTGAGGACGGTCCACAATCACCGCCACGGACCAAGTCCGATGCAGATATGGTCGATTTGGTTTTGCATGGTGTGATCCGGTGAAGTCCATGTGATTTTGTGAACGCGCTTATGTGGGAATATAGTGCCGCCTATGACCAGTTTATTGAAGGCACATAGGTTTGTGAACCTCTCACCATTTTCGTTCCTTTCTCCCAGTCCGTGTCGTCCCATGATGTCTTCATATCCGATGTTGTCCATTCCAACCTTCGTATTCAGATCCCACATCAGAATGGTCAAATCCTTTGCTGGGCACTTCTCGACGACTGACTGCAGAATATTGTAGAATTGATCTTTAGGATCTTCATTGCAGTCACTGGCAGGCCCTTAGGATTGTCATGCTCACTTTCTTTGTTTTGAAGGAGGCTTTAATGATCCTGGATTCATAAGATTCCCATCCTGTAAGTGCATTTTGTGTCGGAGTATAACAGAGGCTCCCCTGAAGCTAGTCGTTGTTGTCCAACCTGCGTGCAATGTGTTTCACTGATTCCAAACACTTCCAGCTTGTATCTTTTAATTTCTGCATCACTTTGGAAGACTCTCCCGGTCTTCCATATTGTATGAGCATTCCATGTACTTCAATTAATGGTTGCTCTGGTTGTCAGAAGGGGTATAATCCTCGTTATTTTAAGAAGGAACTCGGCTTTCACCATAAGACGTCATAACTCTTATAAATGAAGATACCAGTATTTACTAACAGCTGTCTGTGCAAAATACCTCGCATCATTTGGCCAGACACTATCAGTAACAACCTATTGTGGCAGAGAACAAACCAGATTCAAGAAAAAGAATAAATCGGGAAGAAGTGTTGGGAGTGGATAGGACACACATTGAGGAAATTAGCCAACTGTGTCACAAGGCAAACTATCACATGGAATCCTCAAGGCCAAAGGAAAGGAGGAAGACCATGGAACACATTACTCCGAGAAATGGATACAGATATGAGGAAAATGAACAAAAATTGGATAGAAGTAAAAAGGAAGGCCCAGTACAGATTGAGTTGCAGAATGCTAGTCGGCGGGATGTAACAGGCGTAAGTGAGTAAGCAAATAAGTAAGTAACTACAGTCAGAAAGTATTATGATCATTTTTAATGCTGCTTTAACATGTTTCTCCTTACGCCTTATTGCAAAGCAATTTTTGGATTCCATTATACCCCAAAAGAAATTAGAGTGTCATTTGTTTCGGATGTTTACAGTTCATAAAATACTGTGAAATGAAAAGATAATATTTTTGTACTGCATATTCATCGAAATAACACAGTTATCGTTGATTTTAGATTTTTGGCAAAGTCCATTTGAGCCTCATTACACTAGAAAGGAGGATTTTTATATTTCACCAGATCGTCAAATAACAGTTGATATGATGACTCAAGAAGGAGTAATGAAATATGGAAAATTCGAAGATGAAGGATTTGAGATCGTCAGTAAACCATTAAATGTTAGTAATTAAAAGTGTGTTTTTCTAATTATTGTTATGTTTTGAGTTTGTCAGTCTCTTTATTCTATATTTTGATGGTTGAATTCATGAGTCCATTGAACCTAGACGACCATGGGAAACCTGGAAATACAGGACAATCGTTTAGTCCAAAGTGTATAGATTATCAAGATTAATTTTTGTGGAGAAAGTGCCTTATCTACCATCATTCACTTGAAAATTAACAGTTCATTAACCCGTGCTACAGTTTGGTACCATAAATGTTTGATTATTTGTAGAGTTTTTGGATTAGACTTATCGATTTGAGATTGCACTCATTTTTAATAAACTGTTTACATTGAACAGTTATTTTCACCCCAGCAATTATACAAATGAATTTAATAATTTGTTATATCTAGAGCTTAGTTTTCTAATATACTGTGTAAAGCTTGAGCAGTTTAACGCTAGAACCCTACCAAGTCGTAAATGAGAAGACAGAAGAAGACTGGATAAAGGGCTTGTTGGGCAAGTATCAAAATGTACCGAAAATTACGGGTATTTATAGATATTGGAGTTTGTTAAATCAACATTATGATTCAAAAATTTCACAAAGAGGCTTGATGTTTTATAGACTAAACGTAGAATTCCATGTTGGTATTCTGGAAAGCGCCATTGCGTTGAGATTGAATGAAACTCTTCGGCTGTTCTAAGGCCACTGTTGTAATTGTCCTATGCCGTCCTTACATAATTCCTATAATCATACGGATTCCATGATAATGGGGGATATTTAAATGGATATGATCCCAGTCCAAGATATTTCAGAAGTGGTCAATCAGTTTTCTCTGTAGCCTTCTTTCTTTTACTATTTGCGTAATGTCGTTACCTGTTCAAAGTAATCAGTCGTTCGAAAATCCATGTAGTCTCATCATTTGCAAGTGCTTGCTTCTTTAGGAATTAGAATATCAGGCTTACTCTTATTTATTTCATTTCGTTCTTTCTTTCTTCAAACATCTCCAGAACACACGTTTCACATTTGTTATCGTGTTACCTCTTGAAAAGTGGTCGTTAAATGGTGCCACAGAACTTTTGAATGGCAATAAAGTTTTAAGTGAATACGTGAAGAATTTGAAAGAAACTACAGTGTCATTACGATTACCGAAATTTACATTGAAAAATACACTTGACCTTGTGCCAACATTAAAGTCTATCGGTGTTGTCGATTTGTTTGATCCAGTAAAATCTGATCTGTCAGGTAAGAATATCTAAGTTGGTAAATTCACATAAAATATTATACATTGTTCTTTTTATCAATTCTGATTATTCTATTGTGAATTCGAGTGGATATTAGCACCTCAGATTACTAGTATGTTTTCTGTGCCCAGATATTTTATGTGGTTTTATTCAAACGTTCGAAGTCAATGAGTAGTGGAGTTTCTTCAAGATGACTGCTATGCTTCGTGTATCAGCTGCCATTATAACCGTTATTAGATAACTCGAAGAGATGAATAGATTTCAAAAGGAAATACGACGCGGTTACTACAGTTTATTGATGTAAAGTATGAATCTCAAGCATTCTAAGCGAATAAATCGTGGAACAATTTAAGTAAGTAACATTTATGCTAGTGAACAGAACATACGTGTAGGCTGTAATCCATGATCGAGCATAAATGCACATACAAACACAATTATAATACACACATATACAGCCAAGACTAAAGTCAGAATTCTCAAGACATACATAACAACATTTCCTTTGTGTGGAGTTGAAACGTGAAGAACAGTTAGATGGACCCAAACTGTTTATAATTCAGTGCTTGATTATCAATTATAAGTTGTTCGGTTCTCAAAATGTTTATAAGGAAATAGAAAAGACTAAGTTGAGCTGTGTAATAATATTTACCAGAACAGTTGATGAATATGTTAGACTTAACCTTCGACATCGTCTAAATTATACTTATTCATGGATAATGTGAGAAAATAAGTAACCATCAGAGTAGTATTGGAAGTAATTTCCCAAACAAAATCCAGTCGATTCTGTTTCATAGACCAAAAATTCTGCAATTTTGGAAAAGAATAATTCAGTAGAAGTGGAACCTTAATTCAATATGTAATCATTCGTTAATTTTTGACATCGTGGATATTGAATTGGATGTTTGAAATGGTAGATTGAGTGGGTAAATGATCATAGAAATTTAATCAATCTCTAACAATGGAATAATTCTTAATATTCATCAACAAGATGTACTTGCATTCTTGATTTGATGTGTACCTCTAAATTCAAGCACATTAATTCGATTATTTCATGCTTTTGTTCTTTACCCGTCAGGAATCACACCTAATCACAATGTATATGTGAATGAATTTATTCAAACAAATGTATTAAAATTAAATGAAAGTGGAATTGAAGCAACCACTGTAACCTCACCTATATTTGTGCCTATTTCAGCCATTATACCAGAAGTAGACTTTCATGTAACTCATCCATTTATATGCTTTATATATGATCAACAATTAACAATGCCGATAATGGCAGCCAAAGTAATGAATCCAATTTTACAATCGTAGTGAAACAATCACCATTCACACTCATATATATTCGATAATTAATTGATTTCCACATAAATCGTTTGTTTTAATACAGTGAATTATATTACGAACATTCGTTTTGTTCACTTTTCAGTGATTAACAAATAAAGATTATCCATTTTTCTAAGCTTTTCTTTATTTACAATATCATATACTGAAGTTGTACCATTGTAATTCTATTCAGTTAACACATGTATATGAGAATGGGTGATATGTGGATATTATAGGAATTTTAATAGTTGAGATCATGAGTCAATTGAAGCTAGACTACCATTGACAACCTGGAAGCACTGGACGGCCATTTCATCTTTTTGCAAGACTCCTCAGCAGTGCCCATCCACGATCCCGCCCCGCGAGATTCGGACCCTGGACCAATCGGTCTCGCTCACGTAGGCTTAACATCTAGACTACTGATGCAGCCGGGATCCAATGGTGTTAATGTGTAACTTCAAATAATCCACGAAATTGAACTACAGTTATTCCAGAATTTCCATGGTGATCTAACTTCAATTGACTCATGCCCTCAACCAGTGAAATTGTAATTCTATTTGGTTAACGCATATTGAAGAGCGTGTTAAACAATAGATCTGTCTTGAACCCAATAAATATCAAATATTGAGGAGTGATTGAATTATTGATGAGATGTGTAAATGGATTGTAAGAAGACTTTGTTACAACTTGTGGCCTTGTGCACTATTAATATATGACGTAATGATACCGCCAATTAGAGAAAAGTGAGTTATCGACAGGACCAATGATGCGTAAGACCCGTGCAAGCAGTCTATAGTCTTTATAGGTCCTGCTTCCTGCCTAGCCCTATCTGTTGAGTCCAGAACACCAATCTCAGCGTCCGTGATATGAATCATGTACTTCAAACATACTGGATTCATATACAAATCAAACAGACCACATCGTACTATAAAATAGAAAATAACGTTTGTAGAAGATGTAGTCGAAAGTGGCTGTGAATGTGGGAGACTATAATTAACAGACTGGACAGAAATCAATAACGGTAAATTGTATAATAATATTCCATAAGTCAAAATAAATCTTCTAATAAGAGGAACATGAATATGGATCGTTTAGCCACTTAATAATTCCACAATAAAAATATATGGATCATATTGGTGCATAGATAGTTCTCAAGAGTTACCACTCATTATTCTCGTCAGAATATAATAGCTTAGGTCGGATAAACCGATTTAATATTTGATGAGAAATTACAGAGTGCATTGAAAACACGTTATTTGCACATCTTTCCGTTGTCTTTAACATTCATTATGATTCTTTGGATTTTATTATTGTTACGAATTTTCACTGTTTTTCCCCTGTTCTATTCAGTTCAATCTTCCACTGATAGACATTCCACATACGACTGGTGGTGTGTACTACTTCTGTCTGTCGGTATAAGTCGGTGTAAGTAGTATTCATCAACGTAGTATAGGGCTAGTTTTTAGAGGAAAATAATTGTTCACCTGCTATGTATGGAGAAAAATATAGTGGGTTGATATGTTGTGCATTTTAAACTTGGATTTGGTTATTCACCCTCTGAAGAAATGGCTTACACCAAGTCACAAAACGTCAGAAAATCTAATTTTTCCACTCATTGGGATATTACAAATATATTATTAATTTATAGTGGGTTGATGTGTTAATAGAAAATCAGTATGCTTATAGAAATATTGGGTGGTTGGAGGCAGTCAGAATGAAATCCTATACCTAGGTTTTGTGCTATTTGACACTAATCGGCAACGCATATCTGATGTTTCCTAACCTACTCGAATCCGTATTATTCGGTTGAACAGCCAAGGAAGTTACGACTGAGTTATTCGGATACTGACTGGTTTCCTGTATGATTGAGGTAATCTCAACTGATTGAACAATGAGTGGTGACTAATGTCATGTTTGTTTAACTCTTTATGAGCCAACTGAATTTAGTCAATATCGACAAGAAAAATATGTGTGCATGACCTATTTTGGACAGATAATTATTATCCGATTCCATCTGTAATGCACATGCTGACAGGCTCATTATAAATATGGTCGTGTAGTAATTGATATTGTTGTAGACCTACTCAGTTAATCCTGACCTATGAACAGATGAATTCTCTTCATCATTCATTTGTTCGTTTACGCATACATATTCGCTCGTCAACCAAACGACGTCTAACCTTGAGCATGTTTCATACATGTGTGTATGACAGTGATATGTGACTACTCACTTCTTGTGTATCATACCTGACTTTTAAAAAGGGAGTTACCCCCATATTATTCTCTGAATAGGTGTATTACTGAACTCCAGTGCATTATGTGGTCGATTTATACATTTCCGGTTTTGTTTAAGTAGATGGAACGAGATAAACTTCTCATATGCCGACTTGTTTGGTCACAATTATAGATTTATGATATCTGTCGAAATAAATCTACTAACTAATCCAATTATTAACTAATTGGAATTGGACGAAAATCCTACTTCATATTTACGCAATGGTTTTCATATACGAACTGATTATATACCAATATGTTTCGCCATATACTTTAATTCGAATATATTTCAAGGTTTGTAGTCTCTACTTTGCACTTTTAGAATTCAGAATCAACAGTCTAACATAAATGAACAATCTCTTAGTGTATTGAAGGAGAACACAATCGGTGTCAACTTAATGTACTACAGTACAAAATTACAGAACATCTTAATAAGATCTCAGAAACATACAGTAAATTTTTCGTTTGCGAAATGTCACTCAATCGTCTCAGAATTCATTGTTATTTCGTTTCCACACCAATCATTCTCTGTTCTCGTTCTCTTTCATTCGATCTAATTAACATTATGTAGCCAGGCATTTCACTTTCGATTGATGATACATACTACTTATATCTATCGATATGAGTAGTGTACACCACATGAGTACAAAATGGTTTCATGACCTCTGAAAAACTTCAGACTAAACGTGGGAGAGAAATGTTATTTCAAGAAGATATTCTCAATTTATGATTTTTACAAATGCAACGTTGTAAATAAGAATGTAAACAATATTTGACCTATAACATAATGAAGATATTACTCTGACCACTACTAATTTACAGATTCCGGTGTATTAATCTGTTTACAAAAGAAAACAGTTGCATCAAGTAAGCTAATTAGGTCACATATCATTTTATTTTGTACTTCAAATGTCAGCTACAACGTAGGACCAGGCATATATATGATGATGCAGGACCCCACCGAAGTAGTCTGCATCTACCTTGTATGGAATCAGTTGTGAATATTAAAAACAAAGTAAAAGGCCTTATTAGGATCCTAAGGCTACTAATCTAATCTGGTATGTGTAAGATGCACTACAGTTGGCTTTATGGAAATGTATGGTTATCATCATCAGACTACATAGTTATAAGTCCATAATTATTGTTATCTTTTATAAAGCCCAAGATAAGGCATGTACTGATGAATTTGACAATGTTACATGTTGAAAATGGTGGACGTTCGCAACTGTTATGACATGTATACTTCAAAATTGTGTTATCTGCAAATTAGAAAGGTCATTTAATAGAGGTCAGAATGATATCGAGTAAAGTCCGGTCAAAATCAGTAGTGGCAAAATTGGAAGTGTCAGTAGTTGAGATCATGAGTCAACTGAAGCTAGACCACCATGGAAAATCTGGAAGCACTAGACGGCCAACTTGTCCTATTGTGGAACTCCTCAGCAGTGCGCATTCACGACCACCCCTCGCGGGATTCGAACCCAGGACCTATTGATTTCACGCGCGAGCGCTTAACCACTAGACCATTGAGCTTGCCGGCATCCAACTGTGTTAATGTCTAACTTCAACCAATCCACTAAATTGAGCGACACATCCACAATTGTCATCAGCGAGTTGCTATCTCACAATTGACCCAGTTGAACTCCACTGATCATTATTTTACACTAGAACTCCAGGATATACAAAATTGTATGAATAAAATGCATAGTAAGGTAATTTCACCTTGTTGATTTTGATAATAATGATAATGATAATAATAATAATATTGTTGTTGCACATCTTCATAATTTGATGCGATTGCAGAATAGTTGTTGTTGTGTGAATATAATATGTTATAAGAGGTGTGTTATCAAGGTTATTAAGATAAACAAAATAGGATTCATGTGAATTGGCAATGATGGATGTGAAGATTAAGATAGATGTAATGAAAAGCGAAAATCAAATTGAATTTTATCTGTTATTGCACTGTTGCACACCAATATCCGAAAGACGATTGCAGATCTTTACGTCGATGTAAAATTAAACCTATCATATTAAGTCACTGAAAAAATATGCTCTTAGTTAAATCGAACCTCTTCAAACGTATATATTGTTGAGCTTGAAAGAAATATTACACAGATTATATAGCGTCCAAGATCTTCCGAAAATCTTGAAGGATTAATACATGACTTGTATCCTAGAAGTGCAAAGAACGAGGGAAAACAAAAAAATAATAAAATTAATCAAGCGATCAGACAACCAGATATTAAATCGGATTTTTCGGAAGACTGTAACCAGTATTTCTTTTAACTTTACCTCTGTTAATTTTGATAGGACTCAACTGAAAGCATTTTCATTAGGTCCTAAGTTTTGTAATAATCGTAGACCTGTGGATCATCTGAAGACTGATTTTCAGTTTGAGAATCTATATACCCAAACACAAGACTTGATGGCCACGACAAAGTTCGAATTTGGAAGATTCAAAACCACATTGGTTGATTGCTGTAACCAGTTTAATAGCAACAAGTAATATACGAGTAGTATATTGACTGATAAACATCGCGAAGCTATCCGGAAACTAAAATTGAATGAACACATTCTTATCACTAAACCTGATAAATTATCAGGCACAGTAATTCTAAATAAGACAGATAACATAGATGAGATGAATACACTTCTGAGTGATCAAACTAAATTCCAGAAGCTTAGGTCATGTAAAGACCGAACGTTAACTAACT